GACTTGGTTGGAATGTACACTTTCAGAGCTCGACGAGCGGATCTGAGCCAATGGATCTCAGCTATGCAGAGGCCGAGAAGGCGAATCATCGAGCTACCGAGCAGGGTATGAACACCCGACGGTGTTTCCTCTGTAGAGACACCCGTCTCCTTCGGATTATTTGTTCCCTACGCAAGGCCCATCAAGGTTCATCGAAACGACGTTCCGCTTCCTACCAGTCTTCTAGTTTGCCACCGGGAAGCGACAACCATCAGTAGGCGCGAAACGGCCTTCTGAAAAAAAACTGAGTTCTGTTAAGCCTCAAAGAGGAAGAGGTCAGCAGAGCCCAGCCCCGAAAAGCTCTGTGCTCTTGAACACGGAATGTGTATGCAAGCCGGGTTTGATGGCCGTGGAAGCAACCGAGAAAGGCTTTGTGAAGCCACGAAAGATCCTGATCGACTCCGGGGCATCGGGATTTTATGCTCGATGCTCAACGATGAAAGGAATTCAGCTGTATGCCGAGGCGCTAAAGGCGTGGTTCAGTGACATTGTCACGGGTAGCTTTGCGATGGGGACATGTGTCACGGTGCCGAAGATCTCCGGTGTCAGGTTTCCTGACTTTGATAGGATCGACTGGAGGTCGAAAATCTTAGGGGCCACGCGCACGGCTCCTGGTGGAGCTTTGGTGAGTCATGAATTCACGTTTGCTAGGAGGCCAAGACGCTATTGGCGCAGGCACTGGATCGAAACGGTCAACGTGCTGAGGATCGGAGTATCCGAGCTGGTGGACCCCGAAGATATATCGGACAAGAGTCCCGAGAATGACTCGCGGGCTAAACGTGGAGTTCTCGTAACCCACGGAACGCTGGTCAAGTATCGGAGCAGTCGCTGCATGCCATGTGTGGCATGTTCGGCCGAAGGCCGAAGCATCGAAGCGAGGCCCTAGTGACGAACGTGATGTGGAATGTAATCCATTGCGCACTGCTCACGTTTTGATGCAGTCGCTACTTGCCACTAGTGGTATAGTCGGATGAGGTCCGAGGCCTCGTGGACAAGTCCCTTCAGATGCGTGTGGAGTGGCACCTTTTCCACTAAACAAAGACTGCGGAGCAAGCAGCTCGTCGTCGGATGTTGTTAATAACGTCAAAGCTCCGGTGGAGCAGAAAGTAGAGCTGTCACTGAACGGCGCTGAGTGCGTGCTCAGACTGGTCACGCCGGGACCTACAACCTCCGTGAAGAGGCGACGGCAACGCCACATTTTATCAACGAGATGCCGAGTGTCGACCCTGACCCAGGATGTGTCTACCATAGACGATAGCGCACAGCTATACATCTCGTCAGCTGTATGACGAGGGAGAAAGAGAGTGACGTCATCCTCAAGGCTATTTCTGCGGTGGATGCCCTTCATGAGCTGGATGAGATGTCCCTCGAGGGGTTCGGCGGTGCTTGAAGGCAGGCGACTTAGCCGAACCGGTCAGTATACGACCGGAAGAGGAGATCAACTCGTCGTCGCTTTTTAACGATGCTGTCCTGTAAGACACAAAGAGGGTGCTGAACGCACGAAGTGGGTCTTCGATGTTATAAAATCCCTCGGAGCCGTAGTATCTTTTGGTAGAAAAATTTCAATACGTCGTCTTCAATGACCCGCCGTCGACCCTTCCTTCGGACCGGGGTGTGCATCATCAGGTCGACCTGGTTCCGGAAACCAAATACTGCGTGACACGCCAAAGGCTCCTGCTCAAGGAGTAGTGTGGCGTCATTGATGCCTTCTTCCGTGCGAAGCACGACGCAAGTAAGATGCGCGAGGTGAGTGCAAGTCTCCTCATTCGACACTCAAGTTCAAGTTTTGTGTCTGTAAGCCGAGCGGCACGTTGCGGCTTACAATAAACTCAACTCTGCCACAATTCCGGCACAGACGGCGATTTCTAGGAAGGATGTCCTCCAGAACAATGTCCAAGTAAGTAGAGTGCACTCGAATTGGTCGATGGATATTAACAATTGCTCATGAGAGCGGGTGATATTTCTTTGACAGCGGTGATTACTCGGAGCGGCATTCTCTGGGAGTGACTGGTGAATTCATAAGGGCTGTCAAATGCACCAGCAATATTTAAATGTCTTGTGACGCGGTTGTTCAGGCCATCGTGACTACTTCGACGACATCTTCGTCCACAGTCGTGCGGAGCACGGGAGGGAGGATGAATAGAACCACATCGTCCATTTAAGAGCGATGCTCGAGTGCATGCGCACGAATTAGCTGTATGCTCATGCAGATAAGCGCATCTTCGGCGCCGAGAAAATCCCCTTCCACCGGGATGCGTGGTCTTCGAGTGGTTACAAGGCCATTGAATCCTGGCCGGTTCCAAAGAACTAAAAGGACTTTCTTAAGTGGCTTGGCCATGCCAACTACTCCCACAAGTACAGCAAAAATATGTGGAAATGGCACGGCCATTGTCGAATCTCTTTATGAAGGATGCGGAATGGTGTTGGGACACCGAGCATCGGGAGGCTTTTGACGGGGTCAAAGACAGCCTCCTTCATGTATCAATGCTAGCGTCATGAGTATGGATTTTGGGTTTGGCATGACGAAGGACTCGGCGGGCAACACAGGTGTCATGGTCTTCGTCGACCGATTGAGCGAGAAGGTTCATCTTGCGGCGGTGCCGGATCCAGTACAGCGACGCTGATTGTGGATCGTGCCTTTTGACAACATGGGCCTCGGAGTCCATTAGACTGACAGAGACCAAGGCGACGATGTTTTTGGATTGTGCCTTTCGACAACATGGATTCTCGCAGTCAATCATCTCTGACTGAGACCCAAGCTTCACTGGGAAGTTTTGGTCGACGACTTTAAGGTGCTACATACCAAGCTGGGTATGTCAACAGCAAATTATCCGCAGACCGGCGGTCAAACTGCGCGCGTGAATTGCGTTATCGAGGACGTCCTTCGCAGCATCTGTGCTGAGACCTCGAGTCTGCTGTAGTTTTTCTGAAAAATGCAGTGCATTCATCTACCGGTTACTAGCCGTTCTACGTGAACGGACTTGTAAATCCGATGACGACGCCATCCCATGGCTTAGGGATTGGTAGGGGAGGAATAGCCGAGCGGCTAGCTGATGTCAGCCCTCTTGCTGTTCGTAAAGAAGTCGATGACTTCCTGTCTACCAGACTGAGTGTCTTACGACATGTTCGCGATGCGATAGCTGAAAGCCAAGACATGCAGAAGGAATATGCAGATGAAAGAAGGTGAAGAAATGCGGAAAAGTTGAGGACAAAGTCCTGGTTTTATTTAACACTGAAAACCTTCCTACACATGCAGTCTCTGCTGTCTTTGAAACAAAAAAAAAGCTCCGTCCACGGTATCGGACCTTTCAATGTTGTGGCCTTGCGTATACGCTAAACCTTCCGAAACGGATGCGCACCCACCCGGTGTTTTAAGTGGGCTAGCCGTACCGGGATCCGGCGCAAGTGAACGCGGAAGCGTTGGCGCTGGAGCGGCACCCATAAGCGCTCGACCACCCAGAAGATAGACCATAATTGGTTTTGAGCACAAAGTGCAACGATCTCCATCTCCGATGGCGGCAAGCACCCCACCTACGCATGAAGCGACGCATTCGTCTTTTGAACGGCTAGTAGCCGCTCCGACAGAGCGCGATAGTTGTCAACGTGAGGCAGCTGGTGCACAACGTGCTCTAAGCTCTCTAGGTCTTCTGCGCAGCGGTAAGCGACCCCAGCATGACGCCCAGCGGAGTACGGACCTCATACTCAAGAGCCCAAAGAGCATCGCGAGTCACCGGATGGTGATCGACAAGTCGTCATCGCCCATCGCCGACTCTTTTCGACAAAAATGGTGATGTCCACTATCACTTGGAGTGTACTGGTCGACGTCGTCGCTAGGGTCAAACCAAGTATCTTGTGAAATGGAGGGGATAGTTCGACCTCGAGAACTTGGGAGGTTGAGGTGCCACTATGGCAAGACTGCCCAGACGTCGTTGACGCTTATAATCAGAGGGTTCACGACATTCTGCGTCGTTATACACTCTGCGCTCCTCGATAATAGCCAGGGGAGCCGAAAGGCCATGAGCTGAGATCAAGCTATGGCCGTGAGCTGCTGCGGTCGCAGACTCACCCGTGTGGGAGACCACCGAGCTCACGGGAGCGCGACGGATCAACCCATACGACACAGGACGACAGCCCGAACGAAGACGGCGACGCGCCTTGAGTTTGAAAAACTCAAACCAAATATAGCGTTCCACGCGCTCATCCACTACATTGTGGCTCAACTGTAAGTTGCACAGCGAGAAAAGTTTCCGGTGCCGCTACACCCATCGCTCAAAGAGCTTTTCGTCCTGTGCAGCGGTTTCACCAGGGGCAAGGAATCGTCTGCATCACGGGTACAGGAGCGCGTACTCTTTGAGCACGAAGCCGACTGCGGTACGTATCCTACGAGGTTTCTTGAGGAACCAAGAAGCGAGCTCGGAGATCTTTTCGTTCGTCAAGCTCAGCCTATGTAGTGGCCGGGGGCCCCATCACGTAGACGCTTAACGATCGAGTGATCGCTACCTTCACTTCTGTCCCGGGATCCACCGATCGGAGCCGTATCTCACACGAGGGTAAGGACCGACTGTGGACTTCGGGTATAGTTACAATTGTGTGTACGTACGTCCTTAAAGGCCGGCATACGATATACTTGAAACTCTTGAGGATGTGAGTTGTATGCAGCCTTTCGCGATAAGTTGAAGTTACGGAGTGGGTATCATGGTGTTTGATTTACTCCCAAATTGCATTGATGCGAGTGCTTTGATTCTGGATGACTTTGCGATGCGAAATAACACAACTTGATTGGTTTTGCACGATTTCCTGCGGGTAATTCAATTCGTAAAAATACATTTGAGTTTTATTTGTAAAACTAAAGATTAGATACTTCGTCAGTAGTTGACAGCCAGATGTTACATAGTGTCGCCTTTCGTTCGCTTATCAGCCCGTCGAGATGCAGCCACTCACCACTGCTGACTCGACGCCTAATGCGATCAATTTTACCAACTTCACCTATCAAAGCATCGTATCGTGGCTGCTTCGGTGTGCAAAGCGTGCCCTTAAAGAGCCTACAGGCACAGGCGTTCGCCTCGGTCGCGGATCGCGACGAAAACCAGCAGACATTGCACAACAATAGCGCTAAAAGCAAAAAGCAAAATACTGAAGAGTTGATCGAGGAAAACATGGCGCTCGCCTCGGTCGCGGATCGCGATGAAAACCAGCAGACATTGCACAACAATAGCGCTAAAAGCAAAAAGCAAAATATTGAAGAGTTGATCGAGGAAAACATGGCGCTCAAGAAAACGATTGAAACGCTTCAGGCTGAAGCAAAAAAGAAGCCGAACAATATATTGAGCACATTTCAGAAGTATGGTCTACCCTTCCTTTTCTGGTGGGTGACGCTCTACTCAGCTTCAGGTGTGACCATATACGTGGTACTGGATACAGGCCTCGTATCAGGCGCTAGACTTATCGATTTTATCATGCAACTTGGCCTTGACAAAATCATCGATCCCGCTCGACTGGACCCGACGTACAGCAATGTTGCCATTGCGATAATCGCTAACGAGTGTCTCGAGATGATTCGCTTCCCTATTGCACTGGCTACTCTCCCTTATGTCAAGCGTGTCTTTTCTCGCAAGGCTGTAGAGTCGACCAAGTAGGTGACGACAAACATCTACACGAGATAGAAGTGCTTGAAAGATGATTGCTTAATGAAGTATAAGTTGCAGTATGATCTGATGCTAAAAAAACTACATAAACTTCCATTGAAATATCGACCTGTCGTTTCCTCCAACAGAAATGAGATACTTGTCGTCAAAGCTGAAGCGCACATTCATCACGTGGGAAGAATGACCTCGACAAGCGATAAATTTTGACTACAGATAGACAAAAATGATTGAATGGGCTTACAACGACAATCATTTGTACCATGAGTGCCACGTACCCCTTTGAGAATACATGGATAGCGATAAACTTTGACGTTGCCCGAATCGTCTCCAATTGCAAGGATTGAACGGGACGAAGACGCACATACAGCATTTATGTCAGTTCCGTCAGCGTAATCTGGCCAGATTCCTTGGACTGGCCAACCTAAAGTGCACGTCCAAGTTGACCACTTTACATCTCGCACAGATGATGCTCGACTAACTTGAGTACTTGAAGTTGTCTCGCAAAAGAGATATTCATATGCGCCGCAATTTGATTGAATGTATTTGCTGTCATTTGAGAAATCAAAATGTGTGATATAACTGTTGTGCTTGCTGAATGGCTTGCGCTTCTGAAAGTCCGATGCTCCTTTTACCGAGTAGAAATAAATAGAATTGTCATGTGATCCTAGTGCTAGTGTCTTTCCATCTGGAGAAAACTTCACATCACTAATCCACTCCTTTGCAGGTTTGTCTTCATACACTTGCCTCTCATTTATTGGATCAGATATTCGATATACAGCAAAACCTCCTTCTCTTGAAAGCGTCTGGGGCCTTTTTTTCTGTCGAAACCCATTGTCACCTCCAAAGCCGACAGCTAAAAGCTCAGCATCAGGAGAATAAGCACACGCACGAGCTTTTGCTGGCAGCGAATGCTTATGAATCAACCTCTTTGTCTCCATATCCCAAACGCGCAATGTTTGATCATCACCAACCGTGACAAATTGTCGCTGAGAAGGATGTACAGCTAGGCCCCACAGCTCCATGGCAAAGTGGCCGGAAAAGAGAGGCTGACCATTGTTCAGAGCACCCGCGGTTGCCACCTCAATTTCGATAATGTCACTCGAACACGTCCCAATAAGCATCTTTTGACCTGATGAATTTAAACAAACACTGTTAATAACTTTGGTGAAAGTCACAAGATGCATTGCACCCAAGTCGAAGCATTTAAGTGATTGATACATAGAATTCCACATCACAACACGACCGTCAATTCCTCCTGATAGTAATACTACAGAATCTTTTACATCATGACGATCGGTAACGACATTGCTAACTACAACGCGAACTCCTCCTTCGTGTGCCTTCACCACTCTTGCGAGATCATTACCCTTCCACACGTAAAGGTCACCGCCTACTGTTCCAGTTACAAAGTCCTCAGCAAAGGTGCAGCCCGTCAGGAATGTTTGCAAACTCCCTTTCTTGCCAATTATGCCTTTCTTGGAGGTCAAACTTTTTCCTTGTATGGACCAAAACAAAACATGCTTGACACCACCAGTAATGATACTATCAGCTTTCGATCCGAAAAAAGCAAAGTAATTCACTGCTTTATCGCCTTTGCCAACGGCCAAAACGTTGGCTACCGTCCACGCTCCACTGCTAGCATCGCTGTAGACTACCAATGAATGATCGTCGTCGTTACCGACACAAATTAATTTAGTAGAGTCACCACTGAAGGCAAGTGACGCGATCCCGCGCGTCAAAATTCCCTTAAGCTCACAGCGTAGCTCACCTGTGTGAGCGTCCCAGACTCTCACCGCTGGCTTTCTTCCACGCTCCCCTGTCGCGACTAAATTTCGTCTTAAATTACAAATGGCAAAGCTCATGATGTCGTCGTTGTGTCCAATATGATGTCTTTGAAAATGATGAATGGCGTCATAGATGACGCCTACGGCTGCTGTGTGATAAATGATCTCATCCTGCGCGTTGTAGACTAAATTCTGTCGAGAATGTTCAGATTGATAGCCATAAACCCATTCTAGCTCCACATTTAAATCTGGCTGACGAGAATTGGGAGTGGCAGCATTTGTAGGCGCAATAATTGCTCCAATCCATGGTTTGACTGCCATAAATTCATCTCCTACCGAGTCGTCCAGCGTCTCTTCGTTTGAATCTATAGTTTCGTTGTCGAGCTCCATCTGACTTGTCTGTCCATTAGGTTCATTTGCTACTTGTAATGGTTCATCCTCGCTCACTATTCGCCATTCCATGATGGCTCGATCATTACCGCCAATACTTATGATGTAGCTATCATTACAAGACCACCTGACGTTGGTCACGTGCGACGAATGACCACGATAATCGACTGAGCTCGCATTTTTCGCAACACAGGGATATCGATATAGTTTGACGCGTCCAAAGTCATCTGCTGTGACCAAAAGATGTCCGCTAGAATTGCGCGCGACAGAATTTACATCAGTGCCATCGGAAAAAGGTGGCCAAATGCCTTGCACAGGCCAACCAAGCACACATGTCCAGGAATACCATGGTGTATCTCTCGTACTGCTTGCGGATGTAATGTGCTTGCCAGTATTAGCATTACTGAATAAAAGCTCGTAAGCTCCACAATTGCTCTGCAAGATTTGACTGTCTGACGAGAAATCGAAGTGCGTGATATAACTGTGGTGCTTATCGAAAGTAGCTGTTCTTACGACCTTCAAGCCATTGTGATTAAGGCGATAAAGATAAATTTTGTGGTCGTGCGAGCCAACTGCAAGAACCAAGCCATTTGGTGAGAACTTCATTTCACTTATCGCTTGCTTGGACGGTCGATCTTCAAAAACCTTTCTTGTTAAGTCGCTATAAGAAAGCAAAACCATGCCACCTGTCTTCAATCGAGCTGTCTTTGACATATCCGTCCGTCCGCCATATCCGATTGCGACAATGTCTGCCGAGCCTGTTAATGCACATACTCGAGCTATCCATTCTAGCCTTCGAATTCTCAGCTGCGATTTTGTGACATGACACCACACTCGGATAGTTTGGTCATCGCCAACAGTGCAGTATTCTGCTCTCGTCGGATGACATGCGAGTCCCCAGACTTCCATTTTGTAGTGACCTTGAGTGATTACTGAGAGTGCTGGCTGAGCTCGACCGGCATCGAGTTCGAGCAAGTCGCTTCCTCCCAGGCCGACGAGAAAAAGTCGAGAAGATCCTGGACTTGAACAAATACTTTTGATTTCAGAATTCAAAAGTTTACTATCTTGAAGTGTGTATTTTGTAAGATCGAAAATAGCTATGCTGTTGATCTGCGCGTCCCAAATTGCAATCTTAGAGTCTTTGCCACCGCTTATCAGCTCGCGTTCTGCCGCGTAGAGTGCCAGTATGGCACTACCATGAGCCTGGACAGTTTTCGTGACACTAACTGAATTCTGAAAAATAATTAAATGACCAGTACAGCCACCAGCGATGACAAGACCGCTAAAGGATACGACACAGTCGAATCTTGGCGGAACATTACCACTTTGATGTGCCTTCGTCCCAAAAGTGGCAAGTTTTGATGTGAGATTCTTACCCTGCTCTACCCAGAAACGAATATGCTTGTCACCGCATGTCACCCATTCGTTGGTTGCGGCATGGTAACACATGCTGTGTACATTATTGCGTTCACCTCTCGAGTACGACGTCAACATACCATTTTGCCAATTGTAAATCGCAATCGAATGATTATCGTCACCCCCTACGCTCCCAAGCTTTTTACCATCAGCTGAGAAACAAATTGCGTTTATAGAGCGCTGATGGAATCCTTCAAGACACGGTGCAACAGCGATTCCGCCAGTGGAATCCCAAACGTAGATCTTGGGCTTCCCACCCATTTGTGAAGTCGCGAATGTTGTACCATTCGGATGAGCACTTAAAGCCACAATATCATTGTCGTGACTCTTAAAAAACCTTTGACGCTGGGTCGTTCTGTTATAAATGACGCCAAGGGCAGCAACGTGATAGACAACATTTCCTGTCGAGTCGTATCGAGCGTTATTAGACGCGTTCTGAGCTTGATATCCATGCACTCGCTCCAGCTCTAGCCTCGCATTTGGTGAGGTGCTGTCAATTATCGTTTGTGCGGTCTTCGAAGGTGCTACAACTGCCCCTAGCCATGGCCTCACTGCCATGAACTCATCACCAAAATCGTCCTTCATCACCACTTCCTCAAAAGGACTAGTTTCTTTTTCACCAATAATTTCGATCTCGTTGCTGGACGGCTCAGTCGTACTCGATCGATGGTTGAGAAAATTGGGAATTTTGGAAGACTGCGTGTCGTGTTTCCATACAAAAATACACCGATCATTTCCACCAACTGAAACGATGAAGTTATCATCAAACGACCATTTGACATTTGTGACATGGGAGGATTGACCACGCAGCTCCAGAAACGGAGCTGTATCCAAGGCACAAGGAAAGTTAAACACTTTCACTTTTCCAAAGTCGTCGCCTGTCACCAAAAGCTTTCCGTTGTTCGAGCGATCAACTGCGTTTACATCTGTACCATCGCTGTCTGCTTCCCAAATGCCTTGCACAGACCACCCTATTGTGCTGGTCATCGTATGCCAAGCCTCATCTCGAAACCTTGTGGCATTTGTGATGTGCTTCCCACTTTTTACTTCCGTAAACAGCAACTCGTATCCACTTGAAGTGCTTTGTAAATAATCTCCATTACGTGAAAAGTCCAAGTGCGTGACAGCACTCGAGTGTTTACTGAATATGTGCGTGCGAGAAAATCCCTTTAGTGCATTGTATAGGTAGATATTAGAGTCATGGCTTGCTACTGCCAGTGTTCGATTGTCTGGTGAGAACTTCACATCGCTTACCCATCGTTTTGCATCGAAGCAGGGTTCCTTTATAAAAGTTAAGTCTATAGCACTGTATACCACAAAGCCTCCTTTCGGCTGTTGTTTTTTAGCATTCGCTGAATAATTTGTTAGCAATTCGTTGCCAATTTTACCAGAATCTTCAGTACCAAGTCCGACGACAATCAGCTTGCCGTCTCCAGAGTAGGCGCAAGCACGTCCTGGTATTGGCAACATAATGAATCCCATCTCGTACATTTCAATAAAGTTCCAAATGCGAAGGGTCTGATCATCACCGACCGTACAACAATGATGTAATGTCGGATGAGTATCTAACCCCCAGAGTTCACCTCTGAAATGTCCTTTAGTTAAGGCTTCCGAGTGAAAATTTTGTCCTGTCTTCGCGTCCAATTCGTAAATCTCGGATGCCAATGTACCGACAAGAATAGTCCGTTTATCTGGAGAAAAGCAGCAGCTTCGAATTCCCTTACGCTGGGGCAAAAATAATCCCTCGAGGGAGTCCTGAATATTTGTCACAGAACCAATTTGGTTCAGCTTATCGTCCCATTGAATTATGCGACCATCTCGGCCACCCGAAAGCAGATGTCCTGATGAGTAAAACAATGCAGTAATTGCGCCATCTTGCGCTTTAACAACTTTTGTTAGTTGTCTTTCCACAAAAAGATACAAAGAACCATCACTTGTCCCAACAACCACAGCCTGATCCATTTTTCCGAGGTATTCAGCAACAGGAAATGGTTGAAGAGAACCTTTTTTCCCAAGCAAAGCTCTCTTCGATACGAGCTCCTTGCTTCCTAGTGACCAAAAGTCAACAAATTTCTGGCCACAAATGACAAATTCGCTACACACGCGTGGATTTGTGGTAACATGAAACGGTGCTGCTTTGTTACCTTTTACTGCAACCTTTAGAGTTGCAGATTTCCAGGTACTGCTAGCGTATATCGCAACGCTATGGTCATCATCTCCACCAACCGATATCAACAATTCAGCGCTTAAAAATGCTAGTTGCAAGACCCCTCGCTTATGATATCCTGTTATAATACATTGGACTTCCAACGTATCCAGATCCCACACAATAATTTTAGGCTGCTTTCCAATCTCACCACTTGCTGCAAGAGGGAGACATGGGTGCAGACACAAGCTCAGCACATCATCTGTGTGGAACAGATGATGACGCTGCTTCATTGACTTTGTATTCAGAACAATGCATGCTGCGGCAGCTGGATATACTATCTCTTCAAAGTGACCGGATTTCGCCGCAGCAGTTGTGGTGACAAAGCGTACATTGTTCTTGCACTCTTGGGCGCTGTACCCAAATACCCAGTCCAATCTAACAGAATCTAAAGGGGCCGCATTACAGAGTGGTGGTGGTTTAGTTGGAGGCACAATTGCCCCGACCCAAGGCTTTAATGCTAAGAACATATCACCCACACCAGCATCTGCTGGTGTGATTGGAATCTCGGTTTGCTTCTTTAATTTGGCCATGAGCTCTCCAGATATTTCTTCCTCTTCAAAGCCACTTTCAAACTTCTTGAGATTCGAATTAGCCACGTCAAATAGCCGTAATATATCTTTCGCTTGCTTATTCTTCAAGCAATATTCCCGAAACTGCTCACAGGTAATTGTATTTATTTCCTCTTTTGACCCTCCCCCTTCTGACATTAAAGCCCCACAATTAGCGATTTCTTGGAATGCTAATTCTGCAAGCATAAAAACGTTCTCTTCATCCACTTCTACATCGACGTTTGTCGATTTGCAACCCGATGTAGGCTGGAGAATCTTTGCCATACCAGATAGCGTTGACTTGAGAGAGATCGTAAATTCGTCCAAGTCCAGCGCTCCGTCCTCCGACATATCCCACGAGTCAAAAATCAAGTCAATTTTCTCATCCATCGAAATAGCGGCAATAAGTACAATAGCTGAGAGGAATTCAAGTGCGTCAATAAATATTGTATTGTCGTTTGATCTTTGATACTGTTGACTTTGTGATCCTCGAGCTTCCACTTGCACTTGCTGGAATCTTCTCAGTATTGTTGATTGAGAAAACAAGTCAAAAATCGAGTCTGCATGCTCTGTAATGCTCGCATTATGAATTTTTAAGCTAGGGACACCCAACGTGATAGCGCGGCAGCAGATGGAACGCAACTGACTCCTAGACACCGCGAAGCTCGTCGCTGAATCATAAAAAGCACGCCAAAATGTCTCTACTTCACAAAGTCGCAGGTTATCAAAAGGAATAATTGCGTCGGCCAAATCTACAGACTCGGGGTCCTTCAATGCAGCGAGCAACAGTGCATTGCCCATATTCGTCTGTAGATCGCACCCTTTCGTACCGACTTCAACGTCATATTTATCCAATGAAAAAAATTCTTTATTGTCGGTTTTGCATCAATCACATCGAATGCAAAGTGTCACAAGGAAAAAGACGCCACCAATACAAGCATGACCGACATTCAGAACTTCCAGACCTTTGGTGCGTTCTTTTGACCAACTTAATGGCGATATACTAAACTTTCACCTATTAGTCGATGCATGACATTGTACTGACACTATTTTTTCTCCTTGGTCGCTCTGCAGACGCATTTGCGGATGCAAAAGACGATTCTAGTATCGGTGGCGGCAAGGTGCATGTGCGTGTCCAGCAGCGCAACGGTCGCAAATGTTTGACGACAGTACAGGGTCTAGCTGATGACCTTGATGTGAAGCGCATATTAAAGGCTTTTAAGAAAAACTTTAGTTGCAATGGTGCCATCGTGAAGGACGACGAGCTGGGCGAAATTATTCAGTTGTCTGGCGACCAGCGAACCAACACCCGCGAGTTTTTGCTCGATCAAGAAATTTGCTCCGACACTCAAGTGGTGTTGCACGGATTTTAAGGTTTATATAGGTGACATGTGCTAAAGCATTTAGCTGCTGAGGCCCGCAGTGTGTCAAAGACGCTTGCAATCTCGAAAATCAAGAAATAGATTAAAGAAAGACGGAAAAAGGTGACAAGCCGCTTCTCTTTGTCCTATAGCAGAAACATATTGAATGCTTATGTCTTGTTTGGGTCTTGTCTATGCCATTGCAATCGTCGAAGCTATGTCGTCTTGCAATACGACTACAAATTGTTTGTGTAGCGAGTCACACAAAGACATTCCTGTATACTACTGACTTCAATCATCCTCTATATGCGGTCGCTAATTTTAAACTCAGGAAAGTTGAGTGTCGGCTGCCAGATGCCCTGAACGGATATACGCTTTGAGATGACTGGCTTCTTGATATGCGTCATCTTGCGGCCACTTGAGTCACGAAGACGCTGCAGCTGCAAAGAAATTATGAGCAAAGTTGACAAAAGTAGCAACGCTAAATAGTCAAGCATTAATTACCTGCTTCATGATGAAGTTTATGTCCTGATTCTTAATGTCCGACACTTTACGCTGGTTTGTCACTGCAAAAACACGCCAGCTTGCTTTTAATCTATTAATTCAGACTCGATGGTGACTAGCCATACCATATTCCCCAACGAGAATGGGGTGGCGGGCGCCTTTGAGTTCCGTCTTAAAGTGCACTTGTGGATTTTCCTCGACAAACTTGTGAAAGCGATCATCGCTTAGCAGCTGCCGGACATAGCGACTGCTGCCACTGTGCTGGCAGTAACGGATCGTCACCTGCTTCAGCTGCCAAACACCTTTTGTTGCCATTTTGTGGAATGTCTGGCTAACGCATCACATGTATGCTTAAGTACGATGTTTCTCCAACAGTATTCCTGAGTCCGCACTAGGTAGATGATTGCGGCGTGCTCTAGCGCTGAAGTGGCCGAAAAGAGCGACGTAGAAAGCCTATTGCAACTTGTACGTGCTCATCAGCACCAACATGAAGACGATGCTTATGACTCGAGTGCTGCCGTCTCCATTCGCTGCTGCAAAATTATGTTGACAAAGCTGCGCAAGTTGTTACCGAAGCTCATGCGACCCGTGGCAACATTGTCGACGGAAAAAGCTGTGACGATGCTACAAGGATTGTGTCAGATATTATCTCTTTTGCTCAGTGGCAGTGCGTGCCCGCATTCGATGACAATCTTTATGGAAAGCACCACCACAGGCTTGCACAATTCCACATCCTCAGGTTTTCCTTCTTACCCAACGATGGCCACTATGCTCTTCTACATGATTTCATTTTATACAAATGAAAACCTTCAACAAGCCCAACGCGATGTGCGAAACGTAATACTTCAAATGGTGCAATTCTTGCAGAGAAATGATGTGTATGGGTTCATGCATTTTTTCCGTGATACAGTTCAGTTATTGGAGGATTGTTTTTTATTAGAAGAGTCGCTAATAAGCGGAAATTCTGCTGAAGTGTTCCCACTGAAGATTTCATGTTACTTAAATACGGCTATTCACGTATACCAGGACGCGGATGGGCCCTTAGGCGCGAAAACCAATGTTACGTTGTGTGGCTGCATAGCCATAACAGATAGTAGCCAGCTTCAGGACCGTACGGATCAATTAAAGCGGATGCTACCGTCCATCCATGTCAGTTCGGGTCAAATGGTATTCGCTCTTCGGCAATCGATAATAAATCTTGCGGATCGGATAATTCGCCAGCACAACGCCTTGCTTGTAGGGGATCAGTCCTTCGACAAAATATGTCAACTAGAGGAATTATTTTTGAGCAACAACGAAAATGTAAAGAAAGGCGGTGATGAATTGAGTCCGAATCGTTCCATTTTGGTTGAAGACGCCAGCACAATTCATCCCAGTATTCTAAATTTGCTATACACAATATTGCAGGTCAGCGTATCCGCAGAAAGACGCTATATCCGCTTTGTGTCGTTGTTTTTCAAGACTGGCTTTCTTCGCGGGGCAAATTCACGGACAGTGAACTCGTATGCCGCCATCTTTGAGCTTATTGCCGAAACTTTCTCTCATCTCTCAAATTTTGCCATTCATGCTTTATGGGGTCCTTTCAAGTCGTGGATTGGTGCGAATATGTATCTGATCGAGAAAGCAAATCGTAAAAGCAAACCAAGAGTTAAAAGTATTTGGATGGCAGCGCTTTCAATCTTAAGCATTTGCATTCGTCAGTCCAATACTATAACTCCTGCTATTCTGTTCGTTGATTTATTAGAGTGCGTCGGTATAAATTTTTTCAACGCAGCAGTTGTATCAAGCGTCATCAGAAGCATCCATCACTTATTGACGTCTAAAGAGCTACTGATTAAAGTAGTAAGTTTTATGTCCAAGTATCTGATCAGTGACCGGCCGACTATGTTATTCTCAAATCAAGTCGCTAGGACTTCAAAAAAACGAAAGCGAAGTATGATGGCCGAGGGTGGACCGAATTGCGAACGTGAAGACAAATTCGATCTTGACACAAAATTAGGTCAATGGATACTTGACCTGATTTTCGTTGAAGGTGAGAGTGACAATGGTCGGACGACCATCATGGGACTTTGTACTGTTTTGCGAATAATGATGCCCTTTCGTCACCGTATCGCTGCATCTGCTCGGCTAGAGGGACTGGGTATTTTTCAAGTCCTCCTTGAGCGTATTACTTTGATAATGAACACTTATGCTCCGTCACTCGCCGCTCTTACAAGTGAATATCTGGATTTGTGGATCATCTTGCTGCGATATCTTGATGATCATGAGATAAAACAACATCGAGATTTGCTTTTTAAAATATTGGAGAGTGTAGAAACACAAGACTATTTCACTCGTAGCTTTGAACGGGATAAATCCTTCGCTGTACCAGAGTGCTGGGAGTACGTGGATTTTTTGAAATTGTATCAGCAGCATCACGACACGTCCCCGTCAGAGGTGCTGGAAAATTGCTCGGACAATTGTCTTTATAACGCCGACGTGGTACTCGACGCTGTGTTTCAGAAGTCTGTGGCTCTGCGTGGATCTTTTTTGGTGTTTTACGTTTGGTCGCGTCCTGTAACGCTCAATATCATAGACAATGATTCCTGGCGCAGTGTTATACCATGGAAAATTGTTTACCAAACGATATCACAAGATTCGTCACTCGATGTGAAAGTATGTTCTTACCTTGCTATGATTCCGATTTTAGCCTTCTTTGTCGTGGCTGGATCGCTGACGTCTCCAAAAACTTTGACCACTTGCATTACAGAAATGTTAAGTAGCAAAATACAGCGAAGACCGTCAGCTATTATTTCATCTTCACTAACGCAAGCGTGTGGGGCAATGCTTTGTGCCGCGTCTTTTGGTCAGGCTTTTGCTGAGGGGGTAAGCTATTCTAACAACAAATATATAAGCGGCTGTAATGCTGGCTGTCAATGCCGGAAAAGGTCTCAGGGTTGCCTAGAGTTGCCAGTCCCATTATCCTTATTTAGGCCACTTATTTGCGATGATGTAAGCAATGCTACCGAACGTATGCACATTATAAATATCTGCGCATTGTCAAGCATTTTGGAGCACTGTGAGGTCGATTATGAGCGTGATTCGACTGCCCTACGATTTGTGGAGTATCTTTTGACGTGCTTTGAACATCGTTCTGAGCGCGTCCGCCATGCTGTGCTAAGATCGCTGATTGATCGACCACGCCTTCTTGATGCAATGATAGATCCAAAGAAAGATGGTCTCGCTGGAGTAGTGGAGAGGTTAGAGGCCTCTTTGACGGCTGCCGAAGATAGTAATGATAGAGGTGCAATTACTGTCATGATGTTGACAGCTGGATTAATTGGTTGTGAATGTGACTTGCACCATGGTGATCGCGGACATAGTTGCGCATGGATTATATTGCGCCTCGTGTCTTTATGGAGTCGATTTACGGTTGCTAATCGTGTACAATGCGCAGTGGCGGCTCATACTCAAATTTCTCGTATTACGACGCACCATCAAGTATCATGGCGACAATTGTGCACAAAATTTCCTGAGCTGCTCTATTTTGGTCTCGTGGACGAACTTCTGGAAAGTAAAACACTAGGCTTGTTTATTCGAACATTTATGAGCGAAGTGGACATAAAGATATTTTTGAAAGCTAGTGCACCGTACGTTTTGCCAAAATTTGTTGTCCACCAAAATGAGCAGATGTTGCATTCGTTTCTACACGAATTCAATGGGACAGGTGACGAGATTAGAATCGCAGGCGAGAATGCAATTGACCAGCCGATGAGTATCACCAATCTCCTCCTGAGCTACCTTGATCATGTATTGAAAGATTTACTGATTCATCAAGTGCAAGCAGTCTCGAATGAAAATCGTCTAGCGGAGTGGGAGTTTTTGCTTAAATATTTGCCAGAGAACTCGACCATCCGCGATGTAATTACCTACTCTCCGCTGCGGCTAATGAATTTACTAGCGTGGGAGCTTGGTGGACCTCAATCTCGTATGGCCAAGCGAGCGATTCGAGAAGTGGCAAACTGCCTTGTTGAAGACTCGCGAGAAACAGAAACGATCGAACAAGTTGCGAACCTTCGACTAGGTCAAGCGTGCATGCCCTGCCATTTTTTTCTGGCTTTAATGACAGATTTAGGCAATCGTATCAGTGGCAACTTTTCATCTTCTTTCAAAATTCGTGCGATAAAAAGTATTGACTGTTTATTTGAACTTCACAGCGGCTCTAACTCAGACGGGGTTAAATCACCTATCTATGGAGCCGTCGATTCTTTTGTCCCTAAAGTGATGGCGACCCTCAAAGTTGGTTTGATAGAACAGCACCTGAGACAACATGCAATTTTGGCGTGGGGAAAGTTTTTGCGCATGCTGTCAACAAAAGCGCTAGAAGCAAACTTGGGGTCCATAATTGTGAGCTTGCTTCCATGTCTCGGCCATGGAGCTTCGGCGATACTCACTGAAGACGAATCTTCAGCTGGTAGTAGATATTGGAATATTGAATCTCTGGAGCAGATAGAGAACGAACCTCTTAGACAAGCTGACTTAACTGTCAACCGTGACAAGGCACGGATGGAATGCATGGTACCAGCAGTGGATATCCTTCGCTATCTGTTTATCGAGAAGGGAGACGAATTAAAAAACTCGTTTCCAACGATCCCGTTGCTGCCATCTATACCAGAACTAGACGAGATTTACGTAGTCCTCTATAAAGAATATGGAGATCCCAGCTGTCGGCCTATCCGGGAGTATTTGATGAATCTGTCGGCATACGTGAATCATCTTGATGTAGCCGTTCGTGAAATAGCTCTTGTACATTTGCTGCGCTGTTTGGTCGTCCGTGGCGCTGAGCTCGAGGCCCTGATGCAGAATGAAGGTGACATATTTATCGACAAAGCATTAGCTTGTGTAGTGCAGTCAATCATGCAGCTTTCTCGCACAGAGACTTACGAGCCTAACAAATTGCTGTGCGCTCGATGCTTGGGAGCTCTAGGTGCAATCGATGGAGCTCGAGTACCGCTTAATATGTTCTATACGTCTAGACATCAAGGTAGCGGTGTAGTAACAAAAGAAAGGCAGTACCAAAAGATTGAGTTATCTACGAAAGATCTTGCTTGTGTGCTGATTGAGACATGGCTGGTAAACGAATTACGCGCAGCTCCTGAAAATACGGATTCGGTAGCTTTTGCTATTCAGGAGCTACTAAAATTTTTAGCCGAGCTCACAGCTGATCCACAGCACGTTGGTCAAAACTTGACGTTAGGCTCGTCACACATATCGCGACAAGATGCAATGCCCGAATGGATGAAGAGACGGTTTGAACGGAAAGGCGTCCTTCAGTT